CTATTCGCCCTTTGCTCTGTCACTTATAATCAAACTCGCCAACTGCTTATATCATATTGAGGACAATTAATATCAGTATGGAAGAGAAAATTATTATTTTGTTGGATAGATTTGGATACAAACTGCTTTATACCTTAAATGACAGGGAAACAGATAACACCCCAGTAGGTGGATGGAATGTTTGTATTCTGTTTGGACATTCAATAGCGGCGTCTTCGCCTTTCATTGGGGTTCTATAGAAATTAAAAGCGCACGGTAAATTGTAATTAAAAAGGCATGGGGTACTTGGTATGAGGACTGGAGTATTCTATAAGTAGATTAATTTGAGTCATGCTATTGTTGGACAGCACAGCATTCTCGTATGAATTATCATTTTAATGATGTATATCAAAAGCATATCTTCAAGTGATGATTGTCATGGGGGGAGCTGTGGTACGAGGGGTGTTCAAAAAGTTCTCGGCCTCACCTAGAAAATAAAGGTCAAACTCCTATTCTTTGGTATAGCTGTATACTATGACGTCTTACATCACTGCACACAAAAATTCAAATTTTTATATTCATTAATAAGCACGTGACGCCCCGTGAAAATGGGGCGGGTGAGGGAAAATCACAAAATGGCCGCAACAGACGCGTGTGCTCTGATCAAGTGTATCGATAAAAAAGGATGTCTCCTAAGGACATCCATAAACACATGGTCAAGACACTTGGTGATGACTCCCCTTCTTATTCAACTATAAAGAATTGTGTTGCCAGCTACAAGCGCGGCAAGGAGAGCACAAAAGATGAACATAGGTCAGGTAGCCACAAATCAGCACCATGGACAATCCAGTTGAGGCCATCCATCACATGGTAGTGAATGACAGATGTGAGACTGTCCATCATGTAGCAGGTTCTTTGGCCTGTGTTATGACTCAGTTCACAATGTTTTGTCGAACATCCTGGGGATGAAAAAAACTGTGTGCATGGTGGGTGCCTCGAATGTTTTCTGAACATCAGAAGTTAAACAGGCGGGACATTTCAAGGAACGAATTTAGTCCAATCCATGCAATTTCCTCAAAACATTTGTCACCCAAGAAGAGTTGGGTTCACAACTTTCAGCCCGAATAAAAACAGCAGAGAAAGAAATGGATGGAGAATTTTTCCCGGCCCCCCAAGAAGTTTTAGCGAGTTTCGTCCGTTTACAGGGTTTTTGCCTCTGTTTTCTGGGACAGTAAGGAAGTAATCATGATTGACTAAATGCGAAGGGGTTGAAGCATCAATGGGGAGTACTATTCAACAGAATTGCGACAGTTGAGGACAACGATCAAAGAGAAAAGGAGAGGAAAGCACCGAGCTGTCGTGATGAAAATGCACCTGTCCTCACAGCACAGGGGTCAGTGACAGCAGCAAACGAATTTGGGTTTGCAGTCTAACCCCACCCTTCCAATTCACCTGAACTAGCACCCTTGGACTTCTACCTGTTTCCTAAACTCAAGTTTCACTTATGTGGTCAACGTTTTGATGGTAATGATGACGTCATCTATGCGGTATAGGCCAATCTGGGGGGTCCAGATGCAACCTTCTTCCACAATGGGAAAAAAAGCTGGAATATCACTGGACCAAGTGCATTGCAGTTAGAGAGGACTATATTAAAAAATAGTGTAAGAAAAATTTTACTGCCCTGACGTTTTCTAGGTGAGGCCGAGAACTTTTTGAACACCCCTCGTAACACTGACGTGACGACCAAATATAGTTTTCAGTGCCGAACAAGTTGGCATGCGCACCCGACAGATGGGCCGTCGGAGGTAGTCAGAACAGCTATCTACAGGAAAAGGTGTCAATCTGAGTTTCTTACATTAGGCAACATACTTGTCTTCAGAAAGCCTCGCAAACACTGGCATATTGGGGAAAATATTGAGTAGGTCATATATAAGGAGAATTGATTTTGTTCTCAGATTGTTGTAAAATTAACGTTAAGTGTACTGTACAGTCAATCTCATGGGTCATGTGATTCTATGTACTTTTTGCATATATCATTGAGTATTGACATTTTGACAAGTGACGTAGCTATGGATAACTAT